AATACGGACACATAGATAAAACTCATTCACTGATTCAACATTTCCTGAATGGTTACAGGAAGGCACGGAGTTTGGCACTGTGAAAAATACAAGGATGAATTAAACAAATCCTTAGCCCTCCAGGGAGTAACAGTCTGGTAAGAAAATAGTTTTGCAGGCTGTAAAGGGAGAACATAAGGAGTGCTGTTAAGAGTGGTCTGAATGAAACGCTATGTGAATTCCAAAAGAGGGAGAAATGATTCTCAACTAGGGATTTGAGGAAGATGACAGAAAATAGACATTTGAAATAAAGGGTATGCAGGATTTGGGTACCCACTGATTAGAGAAAAAAGATAGTCTAAGTAAGGGTGAAATGCATATAAAGACAGAAACTTTGGAAAGTAAAGGGAAGATGGAGGGGGCAGTAAGCACCTAAGGGTTTGGGGAGGGGATTCCAGATTATGTATAGGAGTTTAGGGGGAAGGCGAGGGAAGTCAAATCACAGGGGGGCTCAAATGGGAGTCTAAAAAGCTTATATGGTTTATGGGATATAGGACATAAGAAAAGGTAGAACAGAATATCTTAAGAGAGTTCTAAAGATATTAAAGTTAAGAGGAAAGGAAAATTAGGTTCGTAACTAGAGATCATTCATTTAGGCTTAGAAAGGCTGATATGAATCTGATAGGCTGTTCCAGATAATATAAATTGATGAAAGCCATGATTCAAGCAAGTTCAGCAACTCCTTGGTCAGTACCCTTCCTGGGAGAGAGCTCAATTTTGATTTCTTCAGAAATATTGACTAAAATGACATTGGCCTGAATAAAACCAAACCTCAGGAACTAAGCCTTTTTAATACACATGGGCACACCATGCACACACAATCCCCCCCCCCCCCCCACACACACACACATCATTTCGGTAGGATACTTTTATTGCTGGATTTTTTTTCTAAGTTTAAAATTAAGAGATGTTCAGTGTAGAAAATCTAGGCTTTTCATTGCTGCTAATTTTAATACTGACATAATAACTGAGAGTACGAATGTACTAACACTGGCAGCTACAATTCTGTATTGGGAGCCAGTGTACCTGGAAACTAGCCAACTGTCCAAGACCAGTATGATTAGCCCAAAGATGACAATGGTCTTTCCAAGAATCATTTGGAGCTCTACTCCTAAAGGTCAAAGGAGACTGCTTCTAGTATCTCCAGATCTTCCCTTGAATATATGAGTCAAAGAAGCCCAAAGCAATCTCTCAGGAATCAAAACAGAAACAAGACTAAACATAGTAAACACTAGCACAGACTGTTGGTTGGACACTTATCATATAGGGGTGTACAGGTTTAAGCATATATTCTTAAAAGATTTTATTTATTTATTCATGAGAGACACACAGAGAGAGAAGCAGGGACACAGGCAGAGGGAGAAGCAGGCTCCATGCAAGGAGCCCAATGTGGGATTTGAACCTGGGAATCCAGGATTACGTCCTGAGCCAAAGGCTGACGCTCAACTACTGAGCCACTCAGGTGTCCCAGATTTAGGCATATTCATGAATAAGTTTATTTTTTATCAGAAATCATCTAGATCAGAATAATTTCAATCTAACAAGTTTGAGTGAATTAGAACTAAACTCAGAAAATAAGTGAGTCAAATGCTGTTGGGCTTTGTGTTAGAATAGCTTTATGTAGAGGGTGAAAGCATGAGCTTTTTTTTTAATTTTTATTTATTTATGATAGTCACAGAGAGAGAGAGAGAGAGAGAGAGAGAGAGAGAGAGACATAGGCAGAGGGAGAAGCAGGCTCCATGCACCAGGAGCCTGACGTGGGATTCGATCCCGGGTCTCCAGGATCGCGCCCTGGGTCAAAGGCAGGTGCTAAACCACTGCGACACCCAGGGATCCCCGAAAGCATGAGCTTTAAACTCAATCAGAACTGATATAAGCCTCAGCTATGAACTACTGTAACAGTGTGACCTTGGGAAAGCTGCTTAACTCTTCAAAGATATAAGAAAATAAGGATAATATCTGTGATAATTAAATATAAAAATTAATATATGAGATACTGTCCTTAAATGCCAGTTTATTAATAATGGGTAATTATCATGGTACCAATTTATACAGAAATCTGTCCTTAAAGAATCAATGCTTTCTATTTAGTTTTTAAATTATAAATATATACATGCTCATTCAAGAAAATTTAGAAAATACTGATAAATCATAACTTTACTTCCACAGTCCAGAAATCACTAAATTTATGAATTTTCAAAAACATTTTTTTGGCACTTGGCTCTATTTTTTTTAATGGATCAGACTTGGGAAGTAAAATAAATGTTATGTTTCTATAACAGAATTATATAAACACCCAAAGTTTCATTTTTTTTTATTTCTTCCCCTTAGGCTGAAAAAATGCAAAGCAAACAAGGTATGGTGCTATATATATATATTTTTAAGAGACAGAGAGAGAGTATTCAAGGGAAAGGCAAAGGGAGAGGAGAGAGAATCTTAAGCAGACTCCATGCCCAGCATGGAGGCCCAATATGGGGCTCAATTTGCGACTCTGAGATCATGACCTGAGCTGAAATTAAGAGCCAGATACTTAGCCAACTGAACTACCCAGGTATCCTCATATTTATTCTTTAAAACCTCATCTCTAGGGATCCCTGGGTGGCGCAGCGGTTTGGCGCCTGCCTTTGGCCCAGGGCGCGATCCTGGAGACCCGGGATCGAATCCCACATCGGGCTCCCGATGCATGGAGCCTGCTTCTCCTTCTGCCTATGCCTCTGCCTCTCTCTCTCTCTTGATCTGTGCGTGTGTGTGTGACTATCATAAATAAATAAAAATTAAAAAAAAACTCATCTCTATTAAGTGTTTTACAATTCGATCTCTTTGTCCTGTGATCTCTGATATCATGGGGTTTATTAGATTTCTCATACAGCAGGTTTTCACACTGAATTGTAGTTCTTTTCTTAGCAGCCACTTGTTCCCCATGCCCTTCCCCTTGGCTCTATCTTCTAGAGCTGGGGCTTTTAACCTAAGAACTGTGAATCTCCTAAAATGCACATTAAAATAGTGTTTCTGTAAATACAAATACATCTTCCTGGGGAGAATCCATATATTAATTAAATCTCAAAAAAGTTCTGAGTATCAAAAAAGGTACAGAACTCTGGTCTAGAGAAAACATTTGTGATTTAATTATCCTTGGATCCTCTACAGTGCTTATCATCTATCTTTATATGCATAAATATTTGTTGATTTAAAATTTTATTAATAAAGTAAATTGTAGATACATAAAAATTTACCTATTCTTCAAAATATATTTCCTCATATATTTTTCTCATTCATTTCCTCATCTTAACATAAAAAATACTGCTTCTGAAAGAATGGTGGTTACCAGAGTTTAGGGAAAGGAGGAAATGAAGAGTTACTGTTTAACAGATACAGAGTTTCAGTCTGAGAAAATGAAAAAGTTCTGGAGTTGTATTGTGGTGATGGCTGCACAACAATATGCATGTACTCAATATTACTGAATGCCATGTTTTACATGACACTACAACAAAAAAATACTGCTTTGTATTACCATATGATATTAATGACTTATTTATTTAGGGCAGACTCTTCATCAAAGTAAAGGAATAAAGAAATATTACTGGTTAAATTTTAGCATATAAGAAAGAAATCTTCAAAGGAGAAGCAAATCTTAACCTCAATCTACATATTTTTGGTTTTAAGTACAAATAAAAATAGGGTGATATAATCATAAATCCTATACAAATAGAGGGGCTGTTATCTTAGTAAACAAAGGTAAATTGCTTGGGGCTATCAGTTTTATCTGTGTGAAGTAAATTAAACTTTTCAAGGTACTAAATCACAATTCAGGGAATACATGATAATTTAGCCCAACTGTATCAACGAATTATCCATATAAATAATATAAACATTTTGGGAGTCTGCAACAGACATTTCAAGATGCCAGGAGCACATTTTATTCAATAAACATCTAGCAAGTATTCCTAAGATTCAGAAATACACAAGTCCCATAAATATTTAAAAATACCAAGAACAGACTATCTAGTACACTGATTACAAAACAGATGTATCCAACTATTTTCCTATGCCACTTCACTTTACTCCCATCTCATATTGTCTAGATTGCTTCACCAAAGAAAGAGTCTCTGACTCAGTAAGGTAGCAAATATATTTAAATATCAAAAATATTCATGTTACTGCCCTTTGGGGCAATCTCAAAAAAATTCATTTTAATGATGCTATGTTGATATTTCCAACCAATGTGTATGACTTATCAAAAATCTAGATTCTAAACCTTTTGGTGATTAAATGTCAGTAGTATTTCTTGGTTATTTATTACCAATACATAACTGATTTCTAATGACATTCTAAAATTCAATTATTTTCCTAATGCCCTTATGCATAAGAGAGATTTACAATTATTTCTCCACTGGAATTTAGGAAAATCCTTGGAAACAGATTCAACATAAAAGCCAACTACTTATATTTAAATTCTCTACCATAGACAAGATAGCTACTATCATAATGAAATATTGTATAGTTGATGTAAGCTAATATGCTATTGCCCTCTTAAGGTTAACATTAAATAATTAGCTGAATATAAATTTTCCCATACTTGCATACACCAAAAAAGCCAAACTTTCCTTATATCTATTTATATTCAGTATTTGCTCAATAAATATTTGCTGAGCGCTACTATGCTGTCACTGCAGGACAGCTATGAACCAAACAGCCACATTCTACCTAAACAATATTTGTTATTGTTTTTCTAGAATACAGATTTATATCACCTCCTTTTCAAAGTGTCTTTATGTTTTTGTAAACACAGTCATTTTGGTAATATTTTGAAAAATTCAATTTATGAATCTGATCTCTAAAGAAAAATTTATAAATGACTGTTTTGAAGACATAAAAATGTTTGCCTATCACAGAGTTTCTTTTTCTGTATGGGAATAGCATACACCAAAGACAGCACAAATTACTTTAAAGTTTAAGATTACCTGAAATGGGAATATTCTGTGAGATGGATAACTGCACATCTCCAGTTCCTGGTGGTGTGTCAACAACTAAATAGTCAAGTGGACCCCAATCTACCTAAAAACCAAGATGACACAAATATCATTGTATGACAATTACAGTGAATAGTGATACAAATAAAAACGAATGTATTAATAACAAATCCAAAGTAACAGCTTTCACTTAAGCCATTACACTAATTGTCAGGGATTGTGCTGAACGCTAAGGATAAGCGAATAAGTAAGAGACTTCCTAGCTTTAACAGACCTATGAATGAAAAGGTTAAATTTCCAAATGAACCCTCCTCTTACCCCACCCTCCAACACACACACACACACACACACACACACACACACACACACACACACACAAAGGTGAACCTATTCCACAGTGGGCTTCTTCTATTCAGGACCAATAATTTATTTTCGTTGGGGATAGCCTATACCTAGGAAGGCCTCAGTTCTGTGCTCTTTGGTTTTTCGGTACAGCATTTTCTATGGCAGATCCTAATATAATTTTTTAAAGTTTATTATTTTTCCTTCTTAAAACACACTAATAATGAAAACTGAAATGTATGAAGAAAAATTCAGAAACATAACTAGACTTCCAATACTATTAATATTTTTATTATTTCTTTCCAGGCACCTCTCTAAGTATCTATACCTAGAAAATATCAGCTATGTTACCAAGTTCTTAAGGCTCAGCCTCAATTTAGACAGGTCTTAAGGGTTCCTCACACTCTTTAGTCCTTGGATGGCTCCCCGCTCTGAGTACACAGTTTCAGTGAATACCCCTATGATCTTCTCATTTGCCTAAAGTGGAAGCTTGGAATCATCTTTAACTCTTCCCTTACCCTCACTAGCCTTGGTCACTTATTTTGCCTTCTAAAAAGCATATATCCACTTCTCTCTTTTCTCATTGCTGAGAACCCAATGGAGATCACAGGCATCTATCACTAAAGCCTTCTAACCAGTCTCTGCTCTGACACTTCCCATCCTGTCTGTTCCTAACACTACTGGAAAAGGTCTCCTCTAAAATATAAGTCTAATAGTGTCGCTTTTTTGTTTAGAATTATTCTATTGCTTTTAGGATAAAGTCTGAGCTTCAGCTCTAGAACATTCTGTCTGGTCTTCTTCATCTGCTAATTCATCCTCATGCTTCATAATCCAGCTTGAAATTCACTTCCCCTTATTCCCATTAGATTAGATTTGGTGTTCCTAGTAGGTACTTCTCCTAATTGTTCATTCATTCGTTCACTTGTAGAATGTTTTAGTGTCTCCTACATATTAAGTATCGAGCTAGGTATTGATAATTAAATGGTACCATGGTCCTTAGCCTCACAGAATTTATAATATAGGAGGAGACAGAGTAAGCATATAATGAAATAACCTTTGCAAAGGAAAGAGTTTAGTAAATGTAAGCAAGTGAAAGAAGATCAACATAGCTAAAGAGCAATTATTCATTCACCTATTAACACATATATTCAACACATATTTACTGAGAACTGATTAAGTACTAGGCACTGTTCCAGGGGATGGGGATAGAGCAGTGGACAAAACAAAGTCCCAGCCCTTCCCAGCCACTGTGAAACTAATATTTTAGCATTAGGCAGACAAACAGATAGTAAGACAAATCAGAGTGTAAAAAGGGCTATGAAGAAAACACGTATCCTTTACTATACAAATTACTTGGTTCCTAATTCAGATATCTAGGTCAAATAATAGCAAGAGATATTTTAAAAATCTCTTCAATTTTTGAATTTCTGAGAGCAAGTAGTAAGAGCTCATATAGCAAAGGATTTATCAAAGAATTTTTTTTTTTTTTTAGGATTTTATTTGAGAGAGACAGACGGATAAGCAGACTTCCTGCTGAGTGGAGGGGCTGACATGGGGGTTCATTTCCAAAATCCTGAGATCATGACCTGAACTGAAGGCAGATGCTTAACTGACTGAACCACCCTAGTGCCCCAAGAATTTCTTTTAATCTCTTTGATTCCCAAAGTCAAATGGTAAAGGATATTTGTAGAGTAGGGAAAAAGAATAGCACGGTAGAAGGTACTACTTTAAACTGAGTGAAGTCAAAAAATAACTGCAGCAGTCATCTGAAGGAAACAAAGCTCTTCAGGAAGAAGCAACAGCAAGTGCAAGAAAGGTTCTAACCAATGGGGATATGCTTGGCAAATTTGAGGAATAGCTAGGAAGTCAGTATAGCATTTCTAAAATAGCATCCCACCTCCCACCATCAATCTCTCTCCTTCTCTGACTTTGTTTTGTTTTTCTTTTTTCAAAATACTTATCAGTACCTGACATTATACATTAACTTGTCTTTTAGGAATTTTATGATATTTCTCAAACACAAGTACTTGATACTGATTGAATGACACATTTTAAAAGAATGATGAAATGATGAACATAAAGCAGTTCATTTTCAATTTAGGGTTCCTTGGTTTGAAAAATAGTTACCCCAAACTTACCCAGGGCCATCATCTATGAAACTATCTACAGAAAAGATCAAAGATACTTTTCATTTTGTATCCTCTGCACTGAAACTCCTAGCACTGGCATACTGACAAGTCTCTTTGTTTCAGAGAACATCAAAGGATTGCTGCCAACAATTTATCATTGTTGTTCCCTGGCATTTAATCATATTTATCACATTGGCTCCAATTTCTTATTTATTTAAAGAGAACTGCTATTAGGTTTCCAAGGAACTAAAAATACTTCACTGTTAAGACAATTTCAAATGACTCTTAAATTGCATTTAAACTAAAAAATGGTTCTGGCCCAGCACCTTGATCACACACAGTAGGCATTCCACAAAAGCCTGCTGACTTAAAATGAACTAAAGTCGTCAGTATCTGAGTTCTAGTCTTACAGCATTCACTAATATTAACACTGAAATATACTGGCTGCCAGCAAGTTACAGATCTTTTGTAAAACAGTCAGTAAAGCATTGATTTTAGAGTGATTTGGGTATTCTCTAGATTCTACTTAGTGTTTGTTTATTCTTATAAATAGTGCAGATAAATAAGGACTAGCAAAACACCCACGGTCCTCATTTAGTAAAAACCAGTGATAGATCCCACTGGGATTTTATGTGGCCAGAAGCATATACAATTTGTGTGATCCTTTCTAAAAATAAGAATACAAAATTATGAAGGCAAAATTAGGCACAAAAAGTAAATATTAAAACAAGTAAATATTAATTTAGACTGTGAAAAGAAATCACCCTAAAATGCTGGAGCTTTAGAGATTCAAGTTCCTTTCTCTGAGATCTCTTGAATAACATAAATGCTTACAATGAAATGCTGCTTGACTGCAGCTTGTTTCCTTTTTCCACCTGGAACATTCTACAACTCCCACGACATCACAGGAACCCATGTGAGCACAGAATCTGGAGTTTAAACTTCATTAGCGTCATGGTAACCTCACCTCTGGTAAAACCCTCTCAATCTCCACACTATAAGGACAGACTAAATCCGTCTAGAAGTAGAGTTACCAAGGTAGTTCAGAGATGCTCTGTGGATAAAGAGACAGCACTACAGCAGAGAATTCACTAATATATTTAGGAAGTCAAACATGTGCATCAAATCTGAAGTGGAAGGTGCCTGGGTGGCTCAGTTGGTAAGGCTTCTGACACTCAGTTTTGGCTCAGGTTATGATCTCATTCAGGGTCATGGGATTGAGCTCCACATGCGTCTCAGCAATAAGCTTGCTCGAGATTCTTTCCACTCCCTCTCCATCCCCCTCTGCTCCTCTCCCTGCTCATGCTTATGTGCTCCATCGCTCTCTTTCTCTCTCTCAAATAAATAATAAATACATAATAAATAAATAAATAAATAAATAAATAAATAAATAAATAAATAAATAAATAAAACCTTTAACAAGTAATCTGAAGGGGAATATACAACAGCATAAAGGGAGGATCAAAAACAAATGCCACTGGTTAGAAAGATGGGATGAGGTACAGATCCAGGGGAAGAATTCAGACCAGAGTGTGTTGAGAGAGGCTCTGTGCAGTACTTTTTTTTTTTTTTTACACATAACATATAACCTTTATTTTCCTCTAAAGGGTTTGAGATAATAGGATTTTTGGTATCCAAATATAATACAGTCACTGAGCTTTTGTCCAAAGCCATTTAAATAACATTAGAACATTGTTTTTTCATCTGTCCTATAGACACATATGCATTTGTGAATTGCTATAACATCACCATTTAAGCAATTGTCTTTCTATTATTGCTCTTTCACTTTGTGAAAGATATCCAAAACATGAAAGTTATGCCACCAGGAATAATGACTAAATCTGTGTTTTATTTATTTATTTATTTATTTATTTATTTATTTATTTATTTATTTATTTTTGGTCAACCTTATGAAGGGAAACTACTCCCAACTAGCACCGATTGGGTCATTTTCAAAATAATGCCCAATAATTTGAAAGTAACTAAAAAACTAAATGAAGGCAAATCCCTTCTTTCGGAGGAGATAAAAGTGTATCTTCTATCTAGGCAGACAAAGTAAGTTATCTTTTCCAGGACATTAGTTATGAAGATGTGGTGCTATGTATGGGAAAAGAACATGGGCCAGTTTCTTCCATGGACACTCCTGTTAAGAAGCTGACTAAAGCAGCAGCAGTCAGGCCTCACTCTAGAGGATACTGGGAGCACAAGTGCAGGCAGGCTGAGCTGTAAGTGTGAAAAGAAAGGCCCAGAGATGCATTCCATTTTTCGCTTCACAGCTGGCTCAAGTAGTTTATCACAGTCAGTCTCTAGGGTAGCAGTTTCCATCAGCATCACTACACAGGCCACATTTAAGCATATAGGGTCAATATATGCTTCTCCAAAGCAAAGGTAAAGAGTCCCAGAAACCTTAGGTCTCCTAGCAAGGCCAATATGAGCCAGATGAAAATAACATCAGTGGGGTAGGTCCTGGGCCTGTGGAATCAAGAAGAAAATCACTGCCAAGAAAGAGGCAGAGCTACAGCCTGCTGGAGGCAAAGTAGTAGCCAAGAAGAATTAAACTCCTAAAGGCAAGAAAAGGGGGTAACTAAAGAATAAATAGAGAAATCATGAAACA